TCCCAGGCAGAACTGCATAATCTGCAATCTGTAGACAGTTCTCATGCTAGATAGAGTCCACGTGTCGCGTCCAAAAGCTGACAGTCGGAGCATGCGCTGATCGAAGATCCTCATTTAAACTATGCCGGCCGTTTTCAGGACAAGAACTCTTCAAAACGTGTTCCGTGCCATTGCTGATCTTCTGCTGAATTCCTTGACTACAGAATTCAGTTGATTCTGCCCTGTAGAGACCAGCTGTTGCCGTTGATTGACTGACATAAATCATACGATACTTGTGAATGGCACTTGAAGCAGTGCGGAGATTTAGAACGTCCATTTTTCGGTAAGCACTTCGTTGTGTTCAAATAATCGCAAAAACACTCACGAAAGAAGTTATTCGGTTATGCACTCTACTTAAACTCAAACATATGTCATCCTAGGTTTCTGAGGTACCTTGAGACAGTTGAAAATAAGCTAGAAGCGGCAACTATTTATAACGGAAGAGCGGGTTCAGCTTGCCTTCTAAATTATATGCGGCTTGCAGGTACGTTGAAGCTCGAACGTTGCAGTGGAAATTAATATGCGTTATTTGGCCAGACATCGTATATAGCCGCAATGGAAATCATAGAATTACGCGTTTGAGTATCGACCTGAGGTTTTCGCCGGGAACGTAACTGTGGAAATTGTCTTTACCATTACAGTAGGGCACTCTTCGCTGAAACGGGGATCAGCTCCCCGGAAGCACATCATTAGGTCCGCTGGATGACAAGAAGAATAATACAAGTAACGCACATTGTTTTAAGTGTTAAGGAAAAGCAACATACTCATACTCCAATGTAAATAGAGCTGGCGCATTCTGAACTTTAATTCTCATCGCAGATTTTTCAAAGCAGCGTCTTTTCTACCTCTTGCATCGAATATGGCATTCGTTGAGTCAAATCCAGAATTCAGTATTACATGTAAGGAATTGCGTATACATGAGGTACCATTGAAACTATGTCATAGGTGGAACATAGAGACGAATATTCCCATTCTGCCGATCAGACCTTTCTGAAGGCTACGCTGTCCTGCACGCCGTCAATAGTATAATCAGAGAAGCTGTACTGTCTGAACTTCACGGACATTCATATTTCATAGTTTAATGAATATGACTGCAGGTTATAAATGATACATTGTACATATCTTACCGGTCTCTTTTTCCAGCTCTGCTCTCGATGAATGCAACCTGTAACAAGTGGGCATGATCCTCTCGTTACATAGCTTCGAAGACGAGCTACTGTACACATTCTGCAATCGCTATTTTCGCCGTCTGGTCTTCTTGCAACAGTGAAGAATACGCCTGACCACGTAGGTCTACGAATTTAGTGATTGAGGGCGAAACTGCAGAGTGACCGACTTCTTCAAACATACAAACGTTTGCATAATGATGCTGTTCAACTGAAGTACGGCACGTAACAGCGAGTGCATAAACATCCTATTTGTAGTCCACATGATTCAGCACATGATTGGCAACAATCTATCCGTTGCAGCGAATACAACTCACTGCAGTCCGTTGTAACGAACCTA